AATTTTTTTTTCTATTTTTAAACCACGCATTCTCTAAAAAATCACTATATAAAATAATGTTTTTCTAAAAAATGGTCACCAAATAGGGGCTACGTAATTTAGCCTCTGTTTGATTTAATTAAAAAATTATATTTTATTAAATTTTGATAAAAGTTGATGAAATGTATGGTTAAAAAGTTATGAATCCCATAAAATATATAATTAAAAATAAGTTTCAGGAAAAATAATTTTTGAAAAATGGTGACCAAACGGGACTCAGTATATTAAAATTTGGGCTACACATGCTCGGTTTGGCCACTATTATTTGGAATTTTAATTTTCTTGAAATTTACAGATGGCTCCACATTGTCAGTGACATCCTATTAAAGTAGTAAAAGTTGAACAATATATATGACAGCTTAGCTTGTGATCAAGTGAATTGATTAGTTAAGTTAATAAAACTGCAAGTTGAGATTAATTACCCCAAATATCTGCCTATATGACCAGCTTTAGCTTGTCACCACGTGATTTGTTAACTATTAACGTCAAATCTAAGTATCATTAATTAAGTTAATAATCAAACTGCAAGCTAAGACTAAGGAAATTAATTAAGTTACAAATTGTATATAATCAAACTGATTCGGATCTTTACTTCAACTCTCAATATCATGAATTAATTTAATAATCAAACTTAATTAATATACAACTTGCATTATTAAAACAGATTTGAACCTTACCTCAAATCTCATGATCATTGCATAAGTTAATAATCAAACTGCAAGTTGAGATTATTTAGCTACACATCGTACCTAATCAGACGACACATTGTCAAACGACACGTAGTGCTGAGTGTTGAAAATTTTCGATTAATTCATACGTGTACCCTTGATGAATGAAGAGATGAGTCTTATTTACTAGTCTGATTAGAAAAACAGGATCAATGATCGAGTTTTTGACATACATATACTTGACAAATTTTCATTGAGTTTAAAAAATTAAACAAAAAACTATCAATAAAAAATTGTCTTAAGTCAATCCCTGAAAAAAGACGGTGTCATCAAGCCTATATCTTTAGCTTTTTCCCTTATTCGCGTATATGTTTTGCTATTTGTATACACTTCGATGTACACCCCCTCACAAAAGAGAGGGGGTTCACATGTAATTAAAAAAAATGGGTTTTACTATTTGTACACCGGTGTACACCCCTTCACGAAAGAGGAGGCCCCTTCATCCTATAAAAAAATTCGTGGATCCCCATATTGCGAGAGCGGTTGTGCACCCTCAGTTGACATATAGCAAAATCCAACAAAAATTTGTGGGTTTTTATTGTGAGGTGGCCGTATA